TTCAAATAGGCTTAGATAAACACCAAAATCAAAGCTCACATACAAGTAAATTCCAAATTAAAATAAAGAGTGACTAATGAAAAATGATTCACCTGATCAAAGTCAATGGTAGGCTCAACATTTTTACGATCAAGCCCCATCGATAATATCCTTGACTGGTCAACTGACTCATTCTGATCACACGCAACCTCAGACTTCTTAACGGTGCTACGTGTACGGAAGTCAGAAATGGTTAATCCATTACGAACCTCTTGGCAATCGTTCACCATTGCCATTGACGCGTTGATAATAGTTCGAGGAAGTCTTGAGTGAAACTCCTTTTTTTTTGTTTGATATTGTTCTTCATTGCCAAAGTTAGATAAATATGCGTGATGTGATGATTGTTTATGACTTGTTAATGCTGAAACGTCTTTTGCGTGCGCATTTGCTCTAGAATAGGTAATATCGTCAACAATATCGTTAGAGTTATCGCCAAATGCGCACCGTCCGGTTTGCAGGTTCAGAGGACCGTCTACATGCACGATTTCATCAGCAGGCCTGGTGCTCAACAAGGCAGGTAGGCTGTCTTGCATGTTCATGTGTGTTTTCTGATTACTATACCGCCTTGCTATATTTTGCTTGGCATTAATGTGCTGCTGGCCTGGGTGCCAGCAGAGGGGTTGGCGTTGCAGTGGCAGTGAATGGTACCATGTGGGGCAACCGCAATCGTGGTCCGGATGATGTGGGCACTTGCTAGTCCGATAGGCACGACATAGCATTTGTAGTACACGCCGTCTGCTTTGATGACGAGACTGATCCTTGTGTAGCTGACGAAGATGGCGCGCTAGCAAGCGACCCGTATCCTCCTAAGAAATAAATGGAAAATAAAAGAACTGAAACAGAGGGCAGATATACGAAGAGTATGCTATGAGCAGTATATAGACTAGTCCGATGTCAGTATTAAACTAAGTTCATAAACAATACCAAAGATTCGCCTTAAAACCTCAACCTAGTCCAAAGCTCATTATTCTTGAAGTTAAGTAAATGCTTCAAACTACTTCGATATAATATAACAAACTTAAAAGCTAAGATGAAGCATTGCTAAAAATCACAGATTCAAAAGACAATGAAAAATGTCAACTAGAGCCATTGTAATTTTCGCACTAGGAGGAAAAGAACGCTCTTTCAAATGGAGGAAACGTTCAATCCAGGTAAATTTTAGCTTGGCTGAAATGAATAGAAAATTTTTTACAGAAAGAGCCAATTGATTAAATAAACATCCTTTATTTAGGGGCATTATTGGTAAACTGAAAGTCACAGGTACCTCTTTGCAATATGGGTGGTATAATTTCTTGCAAATCAAGACCATCCTACAGCCTAAATCCCTTTGGCTCATATAGCTGTCTACAACTTTTGTCCCATTGGAAGTATTATTTTTAGTAATATGCAAGATACAGCTTCATCACCTTTGGGCTCACCTTCGTCAATTCGCTCAATCCCTTAGATAATACGTGCTTTATTAGCTAAACAACAAATCCCCCTTCTTTTGTACGTGATAATTTCTTTATTACTATGCAACAAATAATCCTATTTCAAACAGTATCAAATATGAAAAAGAGTAAAATTGAGATGAATCTCGTGAAAGCATGAGAGGAGTTCGTTTCGAAGCCAGCAACAGACTATGGCGGATAGTCTGAAACATTATAGGGAAGTTTGATGTGATACAGCCCTCAGGAAACCTGCTGAGTGATGGATCGATGCAGAGTTATTGGCATTTATATGACAGTCAACCTTAGAGGAAAGGGCATTTTTAATCCGGCTTGAGAAAAGCATTGAGCCAATAAGAGCAACAAAATGAATTGATATCTAACTTAAGATCGATCAAGTTACTGTTGATTAGAGCAAAAGAATTCTCGGCGCCTCGTTCTGCGATTCCGATGAACCCAAGTTGAGCTTTTAAATGTACCGCGGTTAAAGGCAGCAGAGCATGAATTATCAAACAATGATTCAAAAGTTGCGGCCTGGTATGATCCTACTGATATTATATAGCACAAACTTTCCAGACTCCCAATTTAGCTCTTTCATTAATAACTCAGTCATCAATAAGGGGAGCCTACGACTCTGCGATATATACATTGTTAATTTTGTCTTTTAAACTAATCCATTCATTAACTTGACGAAATCCAGATTTCCATTGCCGTATTGCTAAACGCTAAGTTAGCAGTCCAAGTGATTAAGGAATTAGATGAACCCAGGTGTAAATATGCTTATTAAAGCCGGAGATAAACTTAATTCCATAGTCAAGCCTCAAGTTCGTTAATAAAAGTTACAATAAATGCCAACAACTCAATACTAAATTAGTCAATCTCATGATCTAACAATTACCTAACTTTTAATTCACTATAAATTATGTGTGCCAATTTAGTGCTAATTAAAGTCTTTGTAGCCTCGCTGATTTAAATGTTTGAGGATTGTTAGTGAACCACATAAAGACTTACAAGCAAATCATAGCGTTCCATTACTTGCTAATCCAATAGATTAATAACTCCACAACAATTCCATATGGAAAACTGTCGAGCTTCAGGGCATCGCCCCAATTTGTTGCAAGTTAATCTATACACGTGTTCAAAATGCATAAAATAGACTACTCTCTGAATACAAGGAAAATGTGTTGGATATATTTTGGTAAAGGAATATGGAGAGGGAGATAGAGCTTGATAAGTCTGAAATCAGGCAATTATTACCATATATTACATGACTCATGTATCAATGTTGCAGAAACAGTATGGAAATAATTGGGGTTATAAAACAGCACCCACTTTACTGGCCATCATTAGTCGATTCGATTTCCTACAAGTATGTAGAAGAAACATGTAACCCATGTAGCATGTAACATGTAACAACCCAATTATTCTTGAAAAAGTGTTGTGTGAAGTTCTACAAAATAGTGGTTCCAGGCTCAATACGAAATACAAATGGGAGAACAATTAGATAACCAAAGTTTAGGAAAGCTTATTTCCAGTCAAACAATGGCCTAATTTCTTAGTTGGAAGGGTTAGTAAGGATAAATGATCACTATCGTTTGATGAATGTAACGTAATATTAAGCTCTCGATTGAATTAGGAAAGAAAAACAATTTTATAATAGACGTGGTTCTTGTATAAAAGGGTTGATCATAAGAAGTACTCAGGGGCTTTAGTCTTGAGTTAGTCTCCCAAAAGCAGAGTGTGGGAAATAGCGCCTCAAGTAGCATAGATAGTGTGGCAGGGGTCTAGTGAAATACTTGAACCAGAGAGATAGCATACGGATCCTATGGGGCAAGAGTGAAACTCTGATAAGATCTAGGAAA